CAACTCCAGAGGAGAGGCTTCTCTCTCCCTAACCAGTGCATTATGTGTCTAGAGGAAGAAGAATCCATTCCACACTTCTTTATCCACTGAAAAGTCTCTGTCACCCTCTGGTCATCCCTCCTCCAACTGTTTGGTCTGCAGTGGGTCACACCTTACAACTGTGTCGAGAGGAAAAAGCTTTGGCACCTTTCTATATCTGCTTTAATCTGAAGTAGTTGGCTAGAAAGGAATTCTCGAACCCTTAGAGGCACCCTGAAAAACATTGAATCCATATTCGATTCCTCTTCCGCTCTCATTTTTCTTTGGGCCAAAAACATTCCAATATACGAAACAATTCCTATACAACATTTTCTCAATAATTGGGCTTGCCTCCTACACCTATCAACCCAAACAGACCAACCTAGACCTCTGTAGATGACCCCCCCCCCCCCCCCTTTGGGATTCCTAAGATTGAACACCGATGGGTCTGCATTAAGAAATCCAGGACCTTCGGGCATAGGTGGCTCACTTGCAAACAGTACAACTGTTATATTCCTTTTCTCAGAGTACACTTGGATACAGGACTCCACTTTTGCAGAGGCAGTGGCTCTGCTTGAAAGACTAAAGAGGGTTGCACAGTTGGGAATTAACTCCCAGAGCATCCTTGTAGAAGTTGACTCCACCAACAGCCACACTTCTTTGGGCCACTCATCAGCAACAGCCCCCCTGGAGGCTAGCTTGTACTTTTGACCAAATTGATTTCTTGTGCAGCCTTCTCCCTCAGATCACCTACACGCATATTCACAGAGCAACTAACTCTGAGGCTGACTGACTGGCAAAACAGGGAGCATCTCTAGGCGTGGGAGCCCATCAACCTGTTTGACAGTAGTTTTACCTTCCCCTTTCTCTCTCCTTCTACCTCCCCCATCTAAGTCTCTCTCTCCCCCTCTTATTTCCCAGAAAAAAAAAGAGAAAAAAAGGAAAAAAATGAAAGTAAAAAAAAAAAAAAACGAAGAAAAAGGAATGATATAGTATTTGCATGTTGGCACTGATTCGCCAATAACTCTCCTGTCTCTTCATTCCAAAAAAAAAAAATTCTCTTCGCTCTCTTCCCTCTACTTCAATTCTGGATTCTTGTTTGCCATCTGAGCAAAGCTTCACAGCGAACTTTGGAAGGTCTTCCTCAGCAACTCAAAGGTACGTCCTTCTCGACCTTGCACCTTTATCACCTCACCTCCACCCCTCAAAACCTACACTATTCCTTTCTTGATCCCATTTTCCTGCAATCCCATTTTTCCCCCTAAACTTCTGCTTCATCTATAGCACAGTACCTGGAAAAATAGAGAAACCTTCTTTGGGTAAATAGGAGCTTCTTTAATACTCTTTCCACATCCCTCTCTAGCCTCCTCACACCCATATTCACCTCTCTCCCCTAAGTATTACATCTCTACTCTTGTCCACATCCCTACTTATATCTCCCTCTCTACCCTCCTCAAACCCACACCCTTCTCTCTAAGGCAATTCTACTATGCAGGTCTTAGCAGCATTCCAAGAAAACTTCAGTGGATAAAGTCTATATTGGCATGTTACACCTCTCAGTTATGCACAGGGTCGCAAAGGCTTCACAAGATAATTCTGGTGTTGACATGCTCAGGATGAAGACAACAAAGGATTTTTGGATCTCTTACTTTTAGAATCATAATGAACTTAGCAAGTTATTTCTTTTCTCTCTTTTGTCTTGATCTCACTTGTATCGCTCTCCAGCTACCTCCACTCCGACTTTTTCTTCTACTTACCTCTCGCTTTTTAGTTGTATACGGAGCACCCGACATGTGGGCTGCCTTTTTTTGATATTACAGAGAACCCAATTGGTGTGCTGCCATTTTTTGTAAACATTTTGTAATTTTTACCTTTTATATAAAGAATTTCTCAAAAAAAAAAAAGGTTCAAAGGGGTATGTGGGAACCCTAATTGTTGTTTATGCTCTCAAACCCTAGATCTGAAAGGTATTGCCTAAAGATTACAAGAAAAAAAGGATTCAAGAAACATAGAGGATCAGCTCTGATACCATGTCAAGGAATATAGAGAGAGAAAAAGAAAACAAAGAGAAGAGAGGAGAGAAGAGAGAATATGAGAAACATGAGAGGAAAGAGAAAGACATGAGATTCCACCCACCCTCACAGACCTCTCAGCCTTATATTTTATTAAAATTTATGATATAGACAAAACTGCACATACAAATATAATTAGGACCCTAAGGTCCAAAAATATAACAAAAGATTTTAACAGGTCCAAAGGGGTATGTGGGAACCTTAATTGTTATTATGCTCTCAAACCCTAGATCTGAAAGGTATTGCCTAAGGAAGCTTCCCAACTCGAAAAATTCAGCAGGGCCAATATAGGATGAGAGTGCACCATCGATCAGGTAATCACGTGTGGGGTGTACAAAGTCAAATAAGTCTCCCCGGCTCTCTAAGTTTATTTTCAGCCATTATTTTTCAATTGTATTGTAATTCCACAAACACTATTTGCATTGGAATTCCTAATCTAAGCTTGTTTTAGTCCCAGATTTTAGCTACTTCTTTTGACAGTAAAAAGGAAAGATCCTAGTTTATATTTAGGATTTTATTTCTTATTTATAGCAGTTTCATGTGGCACTTATAAGTGAGATTCAGATACATTAATAAAATAAAACAGAAAATTTTTTATTTTACTCATTGAATTACACATAGCCACTTCCTTCATCGATAATATATTAGGAAGTTCTATGGATATATTTTCGATAGAAAAGTTGGTTTTGGTGCTTCTAGGCATTTTACATTAATAGTTAGACGACCCCAATTAATTGGGAAAAAGCTCTGACGATGATGATTATTGCCCAGTCTGGAAAGTACATCAAAGTATTATCATCTAATGAGATCTGGAAAATACATCAAAGTGTTATCATCTAACCAATGACGACAAACATATCAGGATATCGGCAGTTATAAAAGATGGGTTCGTTCAACACCTTTTAGTGCGCCCAGATCCTGAGCAAACAGGTGCAAATAGAAAAGAATCGTTAGAAGGTCTAAGAATTTGTATATCAAAGAAGGAAGCTCATAAACATTTCAGGTCAGAAATGATGAAAGCTGCATATCTGACAATTAACCAAAGATAATAGATTCCTCCATTCTGAAATCGGAAGTGGCCCTATTAATTTACTCCGTAAACACTCTCAATTGCAATTACTTGTCCTATATGATTTCAAATGTCTCACTGTGCAGTCCTCTTGCCTATTTCATCCAACCCTATCCCCTAATTCATTCACAGAATATTTATCCAAACCTTGCATGCAGCAAAGCAATACAAGAAGAGATTTCATTAGAGCTCACGAGGGAACATAGACATGCCAACTTGTCTTTGTTCTTTAGAAAACATACTTTGCTGTATTGCTGTAGATAGGTCAAGCATAAAGAAATACGAAATGATACTATATAAGGAACAACATATGAATAATACTTGTCCAATTAAATAAATTAACTACATGCACTCTGTTGTAGTCATCAAATCTTGAGTAGGTAAAGGAAACTAATGCATTTTCTCATGGGAAATTCTATACCAGAGGTCATGCTTCAAACCAGAATAAAAAAATCCTATTTGTGACATGAAGAAAGTGATCTGTGGGTTAAAGGTAGAACAGAACGATCGAACAAGTTTAGTGAAACAGTACAAGGCATTTCACTAAAGCAGCATAATCCACAGAGCAAATGAATAGAAGTAATCTTTTTCTTTTGAGAAGAATAAAAGTAGTCCATTTCAACTAAGCGTTCCAATCTCAAAATACTCCCTCCATAATCCATATTAAAAAGATATGTCATCATGTTCCACATGGCATTTCTAATATGACATCATTACAAGTAACTTCGTATTTCTCAGGGCAATATCAAATCTTGGAGCTCATTATGTGTGAAATTAAACATTAAAATATTACTCACTTTGACTAAAACAAAAAGATTTAAATGTGATGAAGATGTTCTCAGCCTATTTGTACTCCAGATCAGTATCAAATAGATGTCAAAATAATCCAGATATTAAATGATCAAGTCAAATACAGTGTAAGGAAAAGATTTTAAGGTCACATCACGTTAATAATTTGATGCAGGCTCGAGGGTTCCTGTTTCATTATTGCCATGTCACTGGGAAAAGTTATAGCTAGAATGTATCTCTAGGCCCTTTACAGAACAAAAACAGATCTATTAAGTTTATGGTAGAGATCATGCTCTCATTGCATGAAAGCACACTGAAAATGACACGACATACTCTCCACTCTGAGACAGATTTAGCAAACATTTTAGTTTACAGAGCATAATCAAGGTACTTCAGTTATTTTCATATTGTGATACTATGATTTTTGTATTGGTGGTGATTTAGACATTGACATGCAAACTTTATTTTGCCGAACATAAGCAATGTGGGAATCAATTAATCATGCTTTTTGCGTCAAGTTGTAGTTCAGCAAGTTTGTAGATTTATTGGTGTATCATCACGTGGTTTTCCCATGTGATCAATGGAACAATGTTATTATGAAATATAAGAATTGAACTTATCATTAAGTTAAATATCCTTCTTCTTTTTTTGGTGACACTCATTAGGTTAGATATTTCTGGTCTTCCCCACACTAATAACCAAAAATTGGAAAACTCCAAAAACAGCACCAGGTAGGATTTACATTATTGCATGTGCTCCCTAAGTATGGACAATTGGTCCAACACGTTAAATGTGACCGACACATGCTAATTAACTTACAATCTTGAGAGAAAATTCTTCATATAGATGTCCTATCCGGCCCACACAAAGTTGTTAATATACTCTCTCATCATTAAATCCACCAATAAGTAATTAAATGGTCCCAGTTAAAGTCTCGGAAAGGGCTTTAATCAGATAGTGTTTTGCCTAAGATTCGTTAAAATATCGTTAAGAAACCCAGGGACACTCCCATTACGTTCCTTTGAAAATGTAGCAAAAGCAAGAGAACATACCCCAGGCATACTCTCAGAGTCAATCTCAATACTCATATTGTTGAAATTTCTAGCTAGCGGGATTACATGCTCCCCAACATTACTCCCTTGTTCAAGCCAGGAACGCTCTGATCATCAATCATGCCAAAAAAAAAAAAGATGACGAATAGCAAATGTTAGTCCCTGGCATGCAACAGACACAGAGCAGCAACAAGATCATCAAAAAACAGCAGACAAGAAGAGTACTCACCTTTCTGCAGGATAATAATTCCTGAAGGATCAAATCCATCCATATCATCAGCCTCATTTTGGAACCTAAACCTTTTCCAGCTCCCAAAAAAATTGAACACCCGATCAAAGAAATTGCTTGCCACTAACAAAGTGTAGACAACCATAATAAGCGGATATATCTTGTTAAATCCCTTCCCAAAGAACGGGACGGCATCATCGATGTTTCCCATCCTCTGCAATCAAAACATAGAAAGGTCAGGGCAAGGCATTCATTAGAAATACACAATTTAGAGAACACAAAGTGGATGTTATATAAAACACAGATAGAAATATGGAGCTACACTTCTAAGTCGGTAGAACAGAAACCATCAAACAAAAAAACAGATGGTAGAACAGAAAATTTTTAGCACTGAGAAACTCCCAGGGTAGTGACAGAGAACTTCAGCTCAACCTTCTATAATAAGATCGCAAGAAATCAGCCTTAATAAATGCTTTTATCCAATTTAGTATTGAGGAAAGTTAAGTAAGGACACGTAGCAATACAAACAGCAATTGCGAAGTAAGATCAATGGCTGAGAAATTTCATTTGTTACACAACAGGAGGGCCAGGAATAACCAGGACCCAAAATAGACATAGAAGGATCAAAGACAGAGAATTAGCATTCACAATGAGAACTTTAAAGGATTCAGAATGCAGAGATCTACAGGGAGATTGACAAGTTGGCCAAAAAAAAATACATTTAGATAACAACTTTTCACAGGGTAGAGTGCATGACATGAGGGATAGCAAACCATTGAATGATACAACAATCTGTCAAAGAAAATTACTTTTAAGCATGGATTGAAATAGTCTACTCCAGAATAGTAGCATGTCAGATGAAAGGCCAGTTTCCAGGGAGAAACATTGAATCTCATCAAAGAGTAGCAATATATGGACAGAATACAATAAAGAAATAGGGTTATTCTGTGCATCATGCCGATACTACCTTCCATTCATGAGCTGCACAGGAAATGAAGGAACATTGCAGCTATTTCAGATAAGTTCTGGGAGTGACATTAAACACTGAGAAGACCCAAAACATGCACCCAAAAGAGAATGCTGATAGAAACTAAGTTGACGACCTCGTGTTTGGCACAAGCTCCAATATATGTGTGTGGATAAGTACATGAAAATTGCTTGGAGCTCCAAAGATACTCCAAATCTACTGCCACCCAATTTGCCCATCCATTTTAATGCATGGTGGACTTAAGGGATTTGGAGCTTCTTTGGCGCTCCAAATTAAATCCTATTTGGAGGTAATTTGGATATTTCAGTCCCACAACCGCCTGAAAAGTGGTTTTGAGGTGGGAAAACATAGTCTACTATACCTTAGGGGCATGCAAAAAGTTATCTTTATATTACATATAAGGTGCCGCGCCCTTCATTTTCATTTCTCCATCATTTTGGGTGTTAAGAGGACTCAAAACTCTGCCAGACCATCCAATTTTCAACTTAGATCATAGATTGGCAAAAATAACGGATTCAAAGCCCAAAAAATGGTTCATCTTGAATGCCACTTCTACAAGTGTTAAGGATCGTCCATTCTATGGATCCCAGATTAGATCTTCGCCATTTTAGGGCCTTCAAATCCAAAGGAAATGGATTTACAGGAGCTTATAATAAAATTTGGGGCCTCAATCCATCAAAAAGATATATTTGGAGGGGGGGGCTATGTAGCAGAGATATCAACAAAACTACCCTGTAAAGTTTCGATGTGCACAAAGTTTTGGGTCCAACAAAACCCTATCCCTATAGCTTTAAGGGGTTTATAAGCCCATGACCTCATACACAAACAAATAAATTACATAAACATGGCCAAAAACACACGCACGCGCTCGCACACACACATTTATGAAAATTACAAAAGACAACAGGCTTATATTGTAGCATAAGCCATTTGAAAAGTACGCATCTATAGGACCCCAAATTTTGTACACAAGTATATCTCAACCATAGTTGCAGGGATCTTGGTCAAGGGGTGGTGTTCCCCTCTTGAAATCTCAATATGGCAATCCCGGAGCTGGTGCCCGAGCAGTACTTGCTTGCTCCTATGCGGGGATCTCGGTTCCTAACTTAAAGGGACCTCAATCCTTGACTCAAAGGATCTTGATCCCTATAATGGCAGATCATGACTCCTAAAAAAGGTTGCGCTCCTATTTTGAAGGCATCTCGGTCCCAAAGGAGCTTCAAGATTCTTTGAATCTTTTTTCTCCCTATCTCTGTCCCCGATGAAAACCTCTCGTCTTTGTGTTGCACTTTGTGTCTCCACCCTTCGATTCCTCTCTTTTATCTCTCACATAATAAACCTTCTCTTCCCTCTGTCCAGTGATTCAAAAAGCGGACCGCCCAATGCCTGGGCGGCCTCCAAGGCGGTCCAGAAGGCTTGGGCGCATTGCCTAGGCCTAGGCGCCAAAAAAATGTGGAAAACCTTGAGCGCCCAGTGCTCAACGCCTATGCCCCGCCCAGAGGCGAAAAAGCCACTCGGTAGGGGCATTTTGTGTCATTTGTTTTTATACTAAGGGGACAAAATTGTGGGTTTTAGGTTCATTTGAAACCTAAAAACCCATTAGAGCCCATTTTAGAGAGAAAAACCTCAAAACACTAATTTTTGGTAATTTCTTTAAGATCGAAGGGTTTCTCAAAGTTATGAGAAATTGATCAAAACATCACCCATTGAAATTAGATTTAATTTTGAATGTTTTATAACTCTATTATAGACATTTTTAAAATATTTTGAGTCCTTAGAAGCATCTTAGAGGTGGAAGTTTAGAGATCGAGCATTCAAAGTAAGTGATTTGTTTTTTTGATTGCTTGTATAAGTGGTATCATTTTCATATTTTGAGATGTCTTCATATTTTCCTGTGTTGTGTAGTATACTTTTGAATTTTGATGTGCCCTAAATCCCTAATTCTTATATTTTATACAATATACAATTATACTTATATTGTTAGATACTATAGAGACCAATTTTTTTCTACTAGGCCGCTCAAGTTTTGAGTGCCCGCTTAGGCACTGAGAGGCTTGGACCCCCCAGGCCGCCTAGGACCCGCCTAATGCTTTTTGAAACACTGCCTCTATCACATAGCAACTCTGTATGCATAGACTTGGATGACCCCCAACAATCCCTCCATAGATTAATCATGCTTGATCCATCTAGTTACTTAAAGAGAAGAAAGAGAAGATAGTAGAGGTAGTTGTGGATTTTGGCGAGTAGAGAGAGAGAGCCATAGATTATTTATTTAGCAAGATGGAGAAACAAAAAAAGATAAAAAAGGTATCTTACGGTAATTTGGTAAAAAAAAAACTATTGTATAACATAACATGGTGAATTCAATGTTCAAAAATGCAGATTCGGTCACCTAGCCGGTTTGGGTGCCTGGCCACCCAGGGGTCCACCCAGGAACAGGGTACCCTCCCAAAAATTGAACCCCCATCTTAAAGCATTAAGATATATGATATATTGATATCATTAAGATATTAGTTTTAAAACAGTTTGACTTAATATTCAATGAATATATAAGATCTTAGTTTGACTTTCACATAAGACTTAATTCATTAAGATATCACATAATCAATAATTTATCAAATAAAATGAAATAAAAATAATAGAATATCAAAACATACACATTGTACAAAAAAGGAATCAACTATTCATAAAAGAATACGATACATGCTCAATTTCATCGTCCAAATGAGAAAACATTCAATTAATCACAAAAAAAAAATCAATCTTTCAACTACAACCATGTAAATATATCGTAAAAGAAAAAAATAAAAAATAAAAAAACGCATGATTCATAACATAATATGTTGTAGCAAAATCAAATCAAAACCCTCTTTCGAATATGATAATACTTTAAAAATCTCAAAATCAAATTGATGTCGGTGCAAACCTTGTCTATTTGGTCGCCAAAAGTCCTCAAAATCAACTACTAGAAGCTCCAAATCCACTCACAAACTATTGCCTTTGTTTTGGGAAGAAATCGAAAAAATAAAAAATTTATTGATCTTTCGATAAATCACAAAAGAGCGATTTTTGGGGAGTTTTTCTCATCCTAAAAAGCACGGTTTTGGTTTTAGGGGTTTAAAATACCCCCAAAACCCTTTTCCGCCCTTTCTAGAGCGAGAAAAGCACATTTTTTTACCCTCGCCGAGACCCTTCTCCACCTTTTTTTAAAGTTGTCACAAGGCGGTGCCTAGGCGGGGCGCCCAGACAGTACAGCTTATGCAGCGCCTTGCCTGCCTAGGCAGGCGCCCAGAGACAGGGCGCATAGTGACCTCGCTCAAACAGCGCCTACGCATTTTTTAAACAAATTCGCTTAGGCAGCCGCCTAGGCTATCGGGGGGCCGAATTTCAAACACTGGGTGTATTAAAATTGAAAAAATACACCTGATGGCGTGATCATTAGCCAAAAGGGATTTTTATTCTCTAAATTTATTTATATTATAGTAATACAGTTAATGCTTCCATCAAAAGAAAATAAAAATGATCAATCCCATTAAAAAGGACTTGTCCTCAAAAAGAAAAGTACATATTAGTGTCCCCCATGGCTTTTCCCCTCAGAATTGAAGTCCTTTTCTGCAGCTTGTGGTTCAAATTTAACCAGCACTTTTTCCTCTATGACCAACTCTCGAGTTTGGTAGGGAGTACCAATAGGTAAGATGGCTGGCTGGGGTTAACGATTGGGTTGGGGGTGACAAAGTAGTTAGGAGAAAGAAGGAAAGGATGTAGCAGTAACAGTAAGCATTCTTTAAAATTCTCATTTCTGAGGGGATTGGGACCTAGCTATCTAATTCCGAATATTGGATATCTAAGCTTCCTGGATTTTGAAGGCAATATGGTACTTGAAGGAAGGGGGAGACGTGGATAAAGACTTGAAGAATATAAACTCAGATAAGACCAGAGAGACAAGGGCCCAAAAGTGGGAGATGGTGAGACTCGGAAGTCCGAAAAATATATGTAGTTTTGGGCAAGCAGCAACATGAAGCAAAAGGGGTCTTCCTTGTGAAAGGGTTCCAAAAAGAGGGGCTGGATTTTGGAGATCACTAGGGGAATTGGATGTGTGACGACTTTGTATACTATCTTGGGTCCAATGCCCTAGCCATCCTGGAACAGAGGGTTTCAGCTTTTGTCTTCAAGGGTATGTGTCCAATGGTATTGTAGGATTGAGGGGGAGAAAGAGAATGTAAAGC